CCGCTACCTCGTCGACACCGGCGCAGAAGTTAGCGTTCTTCCAGCAACGACAAAGGAGCGTCATCTCGACCCATCCTTCAATCTTCAAGCAGCCAACGGCAAGGCAATCGCGACATTCGGGAGACGGTATGCCTACCTCAACTTAGGTTTACGCAAACCTATCCACTGGATTTTCCTCCTGGCAGACGTCTCTATGCCCATCATTGGCATAGATTTGCTGAACCATTACGATCTACTCGTAGATGCTCGCCGTCGACGACTGATAGATAACAACACAAAGTTATCTATTGGCGGCACCACCTATGTAGGTCCGAGTTTAGCCATCGTTAGGACTAAACAATCAGGCGACGCGTCCTACCAGGCAGTTCTGGAGAAATATCCAGAGTTACAACAACCGAAACACACTCTTCCGTGCATAACCAGCAATGTTATGCATCACGTCACAACCACAGGTCCACCTGTGGCATCCAAAGCGCGCCGTTTAGCCCCCGATAAGCTGCAAACGGCGAAAAATGAATTCGACCATATGCTGGAACTGGGCATTATCAGACCGTCGAACAGTCCTTGGGCATCGCCATTGCACATGGTTCCCAAAAAGGATAGCAACGACTGGCGTCCGACCGGTGATTACCGAAGGCTTAACGCCAAAACAACTCCGGACTGCTACCCTATACCCACGTTTACGACTTGACCGCAACCTTATGCGGCATGAACATTTTCTCGAAAATCGACTTGGTCAAAGCGTACAACCAGATACCTATGGCAGCAGAAGATATCGCGAAAACAGCCATTATTACTCCTTTTGGCCTGTTTGAATTCCTGCGCATGCCTTTTGGTCTTCGGAATGCAGCACAAACATTCCAACGCTTTATGGACGACGTCTTCCGTGGTCTGAATTTTGTTCATGTCTACATCGATGACTGTCTAATTGCGAGTCCAGATAAGGAAACTCACCTTAAACATTTGGACCTCGCATTCGAAAGACTCAAAAAACATGGCATCACAGTTAACTTACAGAAGTGTGAAATAGGAGTTGAATCACTCAGCTTCCTTGGGCATACCATTGACAACAAAGGTATACGCCCATTGAGAGATAAAGTGGCGGCTATCACAAACTATCCAGAGCCGACCACTGTGAAACATCTCCGCACTTTCAATGGCCTGGTAAGTTATTACCGAAGGTTTATCCCTAACTGTGCCTCTGTCATGAGACCACTCACAGATCTACTTCGAGGAACTGCGAAGTTCGTGTCTCTGGACAACGCGGCTAGACTTGCTTTCTCTAAAGTCAAGGAAGCCATTTCGAACGCAACCATGCTTATGCATCATGACCCCAATGCTCCTTGAGTATTGCTGTTGATGCATCTGATTCAGCAATTGGAGCAGTTTTGCAACAGTTGACTGACAACCAGTGGCAACCGTTAGCCTTTTTCTCGAGGCGGCTGCAAGACGCGGAAACAAGATACAGTACATTTGGTAGGGAACTCCTAGCCATGTACTGTTCTGTACGCCATTTTCGACATTCTGTGGAAGGTCGTGATTTCATTATTTTCACAGACCACAAACCGTTAACCTTTTCCCTCAGCTCGGCGTCTGACAAATACTCCCCTCGTGAGTCGCGACAGCTGGATTACATTTCCCAGTTCACGTCAGACATCCGCCACATTTCTGGAGCAAACAACTCCGCAGCCGACGCACTATCTCGAATAGCTTCGATAAACTATATCGAGGGTATTGATCTCGTTGAACTAGCTCGGCGTCAAAAGGAAGACCTTGAGCTGCATCATGAGTTGTCGTCCACAACTCTCAAACTGCGACTTTGTCCTGTTGGATCAGACAAGGATACAATTTTGTGCGATGTCTCTGCTAGTCAACCACGCCCAATAGTTCCGAAGAGTTGTCGACGCAACGTCTTCAATACGTTGCACAAACTCTCTCATCCAGGTGTACGAGCCACCATTAGGCTTATCGCACAACGTTTCTGCTGGCCTGGGATGAACAAAGACGTTAAGGAGTGGGCCCAGTCGTGCTTAGCTTGTCAAAAGTGTAAAGTCACGCGACACACGAAAAGCCCTTTAGGCTCATTTCTAGCCCCAGACATGCGTTTCGACCACGTCCATATAGATATTGTAGGACCCCTACCAGAATCTAATGGATGTACCTACCTTTTCACTGTGTTGATCGTTTCACACGATGGCCGGAAGCAGTACCCATTAAAGATATTACTGCCGAAACAGTTGCTCGTGTTTTCGTCGAAAGATGGATCGCGAACTTCGGATGTCCATCTACGTCACAACCGACCGTGGGCGCCAATTTGAGTGGATTATTTCACGCTCTAACGGCACTTTTAGGTTGCACTCGGTTCCGAACGACAGCCTACCATCCACAAGCAAATGGCATGGTAGAGCGTTTCCATCGACAGCTGAAAGCTTCCCTTTCAGCTACAAACATACCTCAGTGGACCGAGGCTCTGCCTCTAGTCCTACTAGGTATTCGTAACGCGTTGAAAGTTGATGCTGGATGCACTCCTGCAGAACTCGTCTATGGGACCACTCTTCGCCTACCAGGTGAGTTTGTTTCCCCTTCAACTTTCAAACATGTTTCCGACAGGGCATCTTACGTGACTAGGCTTACAAACGCAATGCGTTCAGTTAGGCCTTCTCCGATTAGACCGCAAACGACTGATGTTTTCGTCCACCCCAGTTTACAAAAGACATCACACGTGTTTTTCGCCACGACGCCGTTCGTCGACCACTTGAACCACCCTACAACGGTCCACTCAAAGTGATCAAGCGACACGAGAAATTCTACATAACTGAGCGGGACGGACGTGAAGATACTGTCAGTATCGACCGTTTGAAACCAGCTCATTTCGAAGGCAGCCCCATTATAAGTGACGTTTCAGCTCGCTACAGCAGACCGACGGATAGCTCAATTATCGAAATTGTTGACGATGTGCCTGGTAATGCACAGTTGCAACAACCATCGGCACAACAGAAAACACGGTCAGGTCTAACCGTCGGGTGCCCGGAGTATTTAAAGTCGTGTTCAACTTAGCGGCGTGAAATAAAATGTGCCAAATGTATTTTTTTTGCTTACAAATTTTTTTCCGAGGCACCATTTTTCTTATTTACCGGCAATGCGCAAACCCTCATATACTTTGCCTTTTTATATCAAATTTTATCACCATGTAACAAAACTTTTTAAAAAACGGTGAAAATAAGCGTGAATTTTTATTTTTCGATGTGTTTATATACATATGTCCCCATTTCTACGAAACGTTTTCACGGTATTAAAGACTTTTATTTATATTTCGGGTGCAACGACCATAGGACGGAACGTCAAAAGGAGCTGAGGACCGCGATCAACGTACAATTCGATTTATTGTATTTTATTTTTTAATTGCTGCGACACCCTAGAATAAGTTCAGACAACCAATGGCCACTTCGTGCGGTGAGCCCGTCGGAAGAGTTTTACCAGTGGAGAAACCACCGGGTTTTTACTTCCGGCTGGTATCGTCTTAGGGTCCTAACAAACCCACTAGGAGGGGAGTGATCTGTAGCGTCACACACTTCCCCAAAATTAATAGCCTAGGCTTTGACGACTTTCGACATTGATGCTGACCTTGATAGTTTAACTGGACTCGCTAAGCTGAAGGCACCCGGTCAAGCATACCCGCCATTTGGCGCGCTGTTGTGTTACGTTGCACTGCTCGTATTCGACTCTCTAGCCAGTTAGTTGGAACGCATCGGTATTTTGGCACGACCTCGCAAATATACTATTCCATCCGACTACGCTATTGTGTTCTTCCTTGGTCTCGTATTCGGGGGTATATGACAAGTCCGAATAATTAGTGATTGGTCTTTGCGTCTTTCAAGTTCGCACCAGGACAAATCCTAAACCTTCATAGGTGATCATTAATAACAAATGCCGGTTAGAAAACACTTGGATTGTTTTTCAGTTTGATCCAATCCAGCCAAAACCATCCGGGTACTGATAGGATGGTGTGGGTTTCACCTATAAAGCTGACCATTGGTATTTGGTGTTCAGCTGCAGTAAGGTAAGTCTCAACATGTCAGTGTTCACGTTAATGGAAAACATAGCATATTCAACTGTCACAAAGACATGGTTAGGAATGAACCTTCAGCTATGGATGTCAATCTAATGTGAACTGGTTACTGTGGCTTGAAAAGCATCATTGTATCATGAGAACAATATGAGACAATAAGAGAGAAGTACCACTGAAAGCAGCGCAAACGGACTTCAGAGCACCGATGCTTCTTTAGGAACTGTCGTGGTGGGAACTTGAAAGACGCAAAGACCAATCACTAATTATTCGGACTTGCTATATACCTACGAATACGAGACCAAGGAAGAACACAATAGCGTAGTCGGATGGAATAGTATATTTGCGAGGTCGTGCCAAAATACCGATGCGTTCCAACTAACTGGCTAGAGAGTCGAATACGAGCAGTGCAACGTAACACAACAGCGCGCCAAATGGCGGGTATGCTTGACCGGGTGCCTTCAGCTTAGCGAGTCCAGTTAAACTATCAAGGTCAGCATCAATGTCGAAAGTCGTCAAAGCCTAGGCTATTAATTTTGGGGAAGTGTGTGGCGCTACACTTCCCATCTTAAATTTTTTGGTAAATTAGCAACTGTAAGGTTTCAAGTTATTATTAGAGATTGGGTCCGGAACTTCGGTGAACACGTTTGAATGTGCTGTTCTCCTGACCTTGGGGACCGGAAATTAGTGGGTTACATCCTACGCTAGGTTAACCGTTTGGTTATGGTCTTGTGTCAGGTAAGATTCTCCATTAACGTGATACCAAAATTCTTCTACGTCCTTCTGAATTAAAAAGTAAGTCTGCATGCCGTTAATGCTAGACAAATTATACTGGCAGACTTGCGATGCACAGGAGAATGACATTTCAGTGTCCCCTGCTAACATGTATGGCACAGATAGTTTTCAGTAATTAAAATAATAGGCCAGTTGGCCTGTGTTAATCCTTGCAGGGGATATCTGTGTAAAGATTTGGTTTCTCCGTGAACGCGTTGACCGAGGTACTGATGCTATTTGCTGGGGTAGAGTTCCAATCGCTGACCACACGACGAGGCAAACACAGATTCACGCTAAACTGATTCGATCGTGGTTTTCTGGATTTCCTTTCAGTTTCCTCGAAGACAATCAACCCTATCAGGAGAAAAAAGTCGGGACATATCAGTACGGATGTACGTACCGAAGTCATTATTAAGTTTGCGGAATGCCAGTGCGATCACTCCGTTTCCTGCAGAAAGACAGCGGGAATAAATTTAGCCAGTCGAGTTTTTCCTCACAAGGCAGATTCAAAACCTTACAAAAGCTTAGTAGTCACTCGTCTGCACACACTCGAGTACATCAGCATCCTTTTTTAGGCATGAACTTGCTGCATGAATGCAGTATTCCGAGTGAGATCTGACGTACGTAGAATAGAGTATCCTGGTCACAACGTTTGAAAGCTCTGCGGGTGGACCATAATACATGAAAACCGTTAGTTGCAGTTGCATTAGTGTGCCAAAATTTATAAATCATGGCTTATGATGACATCCCAGTCTTTCAGTTCAGAGACTGGGAGTAGTAGTGTACGATCGACAGAATACCGTAAACAGTTGCTACGCCCAGTATCCGTTACTGCACTTTCTCTAGAGTTTTCGGGCACCAACGTTCCGACCAGCCTAGTTTGTTCAAATTCGCTTGGAGTCGCTACTTATCAGCATCACTATGTATGACCCTCCAAACTTTTGCATCCTCGGCGAATAGCAGCACCGAAGAGTTAAGCATCTGCGGCAATTCGTTGTAGACAAAAAATTAAGGGGTTTGGGATTGTTCCTTGAGGAACTTTACTCGTCACAGCTTTCCACATGGACAGTGTTCCGTCAACCCTCACTCTTCGCCTTCTATCTAGGCTTGCAGTGCACCACCAAACTGGAAAGATGATAACTTTCGTAGTATTCTACGAGACTATCAAATACCTTGCTGAAACATATGGACACATCTATTGACTACTTGGAATCACGGACTGAATCCCATTTCTCTCTCGCGATGAGACAGTTTGTTAAACAGTCGTGTTCAACACGTAAACCTTGTTGCTGTGGTGCTAAAAAGTTATTTGATTCAGCATAGCATCGTTTTTTTCTAAAACTTTAACGACTATGCTAGTTAGACTCACATGGCGGTAGTCAGCCACAAAGTGGTGATTACCGGCCTTAAAAAAATCTGTGCTGTTTATAGCAGCTTTCCAGTCTCTATAGCGGTGAGTCTGAGAAAGGGCATGCCGAAAAGATGTGACCGGTTCAACGACAATGTCCACTAGTAAATATAGCAATCTAGGATGCAACTCATCAGGAACCGGAGATTTTCCTGGTTAATGAGCATCCGGAAGACTATTTCCTTTGTCATGAGCGCTGTATTCATTGATGGCACCACTATTGGGCAGGTCACTGTCATGATCTACAGAGAATACTTCATTAAAGTAATCTGATAAGTATTTATCTTTGGAAAGTCTAGATTCTGCCAGACTATCAGGATTTTTATCCATCACCGAAGAGGGAATTCCGCATTCTCTTAAAGTCCTAATGCGATCGAACAGTCTTAGGATAATTTTGGCAATCATTTACAGATTGCTACTCGTCAGGTATTCGAAACTGTGTAATCAAAGTTTTGCACAGATTATGGAATTTACAGTACCTGGTTTTAAATGTTTCCAGTTGTTCCTGTAAACGAATCCCGTAAACGTTTCCTCTCCCTTGGTAGTTTTTGAGTGTCTTTATCCAACCACGGAGAGGGATGCGAGGGTCTTCGTCGAGTCGACCATGGAATAACCTGGAAATGTTTTCTGTAAATTGTATCGCTTTTCCTTCCAGTTTTCGTCTAACAGATTTTAAAGCGTGGAATTGAGTCGTCAACTAGTCTAACTTATTCCACTTAATAAGAAAACAAATTTGGAGGAACGAGTCACTAGTGGTCCGGTATTCTTCGTAACAGGTTTTTTCTCCGTAACTGAAATAATCTCTGATTCCTGAATAGGAATTTACTAAAAGCTTCTCAAGAGAGGCTAAAACAGAATAACAAGTAATCTCCCTGCGCACTGAGGGAGTCTGCAGTTTGGAGAATAAAGGCTTCAATATGCAATCACTGTGTCCTGACACTGACCGACAAAATCAGCGTGGAACCTCGCACACCCGTGCATCGGTTCAAGTGACTACACCTCACAGTAGTACACAAGGAACAGGTGGGTAGATTAAGAGTGACATCAAAGAAGATAAAGTAGTTTGAGTATAAACAATTTGAATATAAAGGTTAGTGCGAATATTCAGGCTTTAGAAGATGCCAAGGAGTGAATACATCTGCGTCATTGTAACCGATTTTCATCTACATCTTCCCACATGACAGACCAAGAGTAAGGGATGTCAATGGCTGTTGCCAAGTTTGGTCTGACTACCCTGAACCCTCTTCCAACCTAATCGAACTTCCCCTACCATGACACGAGGTAGGCGGTGACTCGGCATACGCACCGCGTTTTCGAACCACCTCAGTCGATGAGGCTTCACAACTTCGTTGACTGTCTTGCTTAGTGCACGGCCTGACCTCAATATTGCTGACACGGTGATGTCACCAAACACGAACAATGCTACGTAGACATCTGTAATGAAACTCTTGCGGTCGCTTCATGTCTTCTACTCTTAACGGCCATGTCTCACAGCCGTATAACGGGACAAAATGGACTGCAGAACAGCATACTTGTCCTTTGATAGATAGTCGGATATCTCTCCAGTCGGCACTATAGGTGATGCAAGTTGGCAAATACCAAACGGACTTTCTGTATCCGAGCCGAAATTTCGCCAGCAACTAACCTGTTCAGGCTGTTGCAACTCCCCAAGCGAGTGAAGTGGTCGACATTCATTACACTAGGAGTCGTTGCAGACCAGTCCCGAAGCATTATCCTACATTTTTCAGGTGCAAGATGCACGCCGAACATACTCAGATTTCTGCTCAACGCGTTCAGAAGACCGTGCATTTTGTCAGCGTCTTCACTCAGCAGGACAATAACGTCTGGATACTCGAAGTCAACCAGATGGCCTCCAATGAGTAGGTCAATCCCTGGGAATTCAGAACCAACTAAAATTATATTCACTAGTGCGTCTATAACGAAGTTAAATAAGAACGGTGACAGTGGATATCCCTGGCGGACACCACTAATTGTCATCAATTCACGTGACAACTCTTCATAAACCCTTACACGGCTGAGTGAGTTGGAGAAAACAGAGCTTTCATTAGCGTTATATACTTTCGGTACTCCTTTCACAGTTAGACACTGCTACAACACCTCACAGTTGACAGAGTCAAATGCTCTTTTCAGGTCAAGAAATATGGTAAATGTCGGCCACCGGTAGGCATACCTGTGTTCCAGAACCTGCCTGAAAATAGAAATATGAACGATACACCCTTGTCCAGCTCTGTCTGCAACCTGCTTGCTTTTCTTCAGTTTGCTGTTCTCAAGCTCCAGTTAAGCGTCGCATAACTAAGAAATCTGGCTCTTGGGTACGATATCAGCCAAAATAATTCCCCTACGGTTGTCATAGGACGAATTCTCTTTATAGACGGATGATCTGTGAATTATCTCGATCTCACGGCATAACCTCTGATTTCCACGCACCATCTAGTACCTGTCTCACTTTGAGCAGAGCTTTCCTACCACCATCCCTGAAAACTTCAGGTGGCGAAATATCAGACTCTGCTGCTTCCCATCTCAGGTTACTTACAGCCTTCTCAACTTCGATGTGAATTCAAGGACCGAGATCTAAATCCCATTCAGGTTCGGTCTGGATGCTGGACAACTGCAGCGTTGCTGGGGTCCATTCTAACTGTGCTTCAAATTGTTCCCACCGACGTTATAGCCACCTGTTCTGGAAGGTTATCAATGTCCCATCCTATTCGGGGGTGGTTTCACCCACCATCATCTTCTTGCCAGTATCTTGAATGAACCTAAATAATTCCCGGGCACTGAATGATGCTGACGACTTTTCCATTTCTCTCACTTTTGCCACTCACCACTGTTCGCGATCACTGTGGGCACTCTTGGTCAATTCATGTTCAAGTTGCTTTCACTCTTCATTGTGATCAGAGCCTGCTAGAAGTGAATCTTCACGCCTTAATCAATTCGGATGATGTTGCGCAAATCCATTGAAGTTTGATAGCGTTTAGATGTGGGTTACCAACCATCTTTACCTGTTTCTACGGCAGACTTAATATCACACCAGGTTTCCTCAGGATGAGCGCTGTTGTCACGTTCAGATAAATGCTTAGCTATAGCCTCACTGAATACACACTTAATTGTCTTTATCGCTCGATTGAGAACACAGGCTTAACTACCGTATGTTTCCTACGACCAGTAAGACTAAGACATACACGTGCCCATACTGACGTTTGATCGAAGTATAAACGTACTTCAGAAAGAGTGACAATCCTCCATCGATACTCTCCAACGATGGCTTATAGTAGTATGATCTATCTGTGTCCATCGCTGGTTTGATGTCGGCGGACACTAAGTGAGACATTGTCTCTCTCTTTGCTCGGAGTTGGTGCTGGCCAGAAACAGGTGGTTGCCAGAAGATTACAAGAGATGATGGTTGTTGTTAGTTCGCTGGCATGGGCTACCATAGATGCCTCCTAGATGCGTTTCCGAGTGGCTCAGCTTTCCTAATTGTGTGTTAAAGTCGCCTGCTATTACGAACATATTTGAACACTGCTTTTTGTAGCAAAATTGACAACTTCCGATAGAGTTTATCCCTTGCATCATCCGAACTGTCGTCGTTGGGAGGAGATTACGAATAGGCATAGGTTGGTCTCACGATCCACCCCGGTTCTTACAGATCTATTTAGTCGGATAGCACACAGAAGGCTGTTGACCAGTATCCAGTTGAGAAAAGCGCTTTCTGCTATGCATGCACTAGTGAGTCTACGAGAGCTAGTCATTGAATCTTGGGATACTTGTAAAGTAAATTTTGCAAATTCACTGAACTAAGTAGGTGAGGTCAAGTGAATAACCACATTCGGGTCCTGTGTGTATCTCTTAGAACCTGGACAGACATCGATGGCTCAGAAATACAGCTAGTGTCCAGCTTCGGTGGGTGTGCCGGTGTTCTAGAACCTGCAGAGGATGAACATCTGGTCGACACGCAAATACTCTCAGGTCAGGTGAACGGAATCCACTCATCTCACTTCAAGCAGTTTCATACACTGTTGTTGGCTGCATGGTAGTTTGTTTTTAGTAAGCATAGCTTGGTTCGCGTGATTGTTTATCCGAATAATATATAAAACACTGAGGTTACTGTTTTTCATCAGAATTCATCATTTTTAAAATTCTTGTCTGTTATTGTAATTCCAAATCTGACGTTCCGAAGTTTTCATATTTTTGATTGTTTTTAGTAATTTTGAAAGCATTTATATTATGGACAGCTTACTTGGAAGAAGCCTTGACGACTACCGTGTGAATGCCTGTAAAGCTATTCATTTCAAAATAGGCAAGTTTAGTAAAATTTTCCAACTAGATAAACAGTTAATAATAAGGCAGCTATCAACTGTGAACAGAAATTTAATCCTGAATTCACTCATCAGATATTTGGCGAGAGGTTTGTAGCTTTTGTAGTTGTTGCTAATATTTTTTACAGTGAGCAAATATTCGGCTATCGAGATCTCAAAGTTAATATTTATTACACACCAAGCTACTTGTCGACGTATATCGACATTTCGTACTCGTCAAAAGTTGATCCCCAACTTTCTAAAGGTGTTATGGTAAAATTCTTTCGTAAAGTTATGCCTATCTTTTTTCAGCCTGACGATATTATGCACATATTATCTGATGTGTACACTTATGATATCAGTAAAAATCTAACGGATTTTATGACGAAAATTGAAGAGGACTCCTCTTTCACGCCTTATGGAGTCAATAGATACAGCTATCAGATCATGGAAGGTATTATTTAATGCGTCACTGTTTACCACCTAGATAAATGTCCAAAGAAGTTTTCTATCTTCTTCATCGAACATGGTATGCCTGGTTTTAAGGAATTTCTTGAGTACCACAAACGAATGGAGTCTTTCCTTCTTTTCTTCGTGGATGGTGCATCCGTTATATCTACGGATGATATTCAGTGGTGTTATTATATGATGTAAGCTGTCAGTATTCTCTTCCTAATAACTTATTCTAGTTACGAAAATGTTGACGAAGGGGAAGGTGGGAAATCCAAATATGCCTTTATTGGTTACATGACAGTGTATAAATTTTACGCTTATCCAAAAAATCTCCGTCCACGAGTTAGCCAAGTTCTGATTCTCCCACCTTTTAGAAACAGTGGGCATGCTACACAACTTTTGAAAACCTTTTATCGCGATTTTGTACCTATGTCAAATGTCGTTGATATTGCAGGTAAGATTACTATTTGTAAACGTATCTACATTCCTCTTATTTTGTGAAAAGTAACAGCTAACATATAAGATTATGTAGGTAAGTTTTAATATAATACCAGTGTATTTGGAAAAGCAAAACAAAATTTTTCCGAACTTTGTGCTGTGTAAGCCACAGTTTCTTCAGCTGAATCACCTATGATGAAAAACTACTTTGATGATTTATATGTCATTCAAATAAACAATCGCGTGAACTAAGCTATGCTTACTAAAATTAAATTATCATGCGGCCAACAACAGTGTATGAAACTGCTTGAAGTGAGATGAGTGGATTCCGTTCATCTGACCTGATAGTGTTTACGTGTCGACCAGATGTTCATCCTCTGCAGGTTCTGGAACATCGGCACACCTACCGAAGCTGGACAGTAACTGTCTTTCTGGATCTGAAGGCTGTATTAAATTGGTCGATCGAGCGGTCTTATGGCAGTGTCTTTCGCTAAAAGGAGTGCCAAATAAATGCATCGCTTTGTTGAAATCTCTGTACTCAAAATCCGTAGGCGTGTTAAAGCCTTTGGTGAGTTGTCTACATCGAGTTGTTTCCTTCAAGGATATCAGGTGTTCACTCTTACTGAACTTTATGGTAGACGTACTTATGGGAAGTCTCCCTCTCCTTGTTTGACCTTACAGGAATTGATCTTGTCAAAGAGGACTCTTTAGTCATACTCTTGGCAGAGTATGTGGATGACTTAGTTTTGTCAAGTGAAGTCACTGACAGGAGACATAGTCTTATGGATTCCTTGGATTTCAATTTCAGGATATTTGGGATGTATTTCTGACCACCTAAATGCAATTTGTTGACCCATGAATGTTGTGCTTTGGTGCCTTGTTTAACAATAGGGTATGTTACAGTTGAGTGTGTTGACCACTCCAAAATACCTGGAAAGTCCGATCAGCCCTGGTGGGTGAGTGACCGACGGAATCTTGGCACGCATATAGAAAGCTCGACTGGTTTTCACCACTTAAAGTACCGCCACGATATGCAATTTTCTGTTAAGCGTCGAGTGTACTGCACTTCATTTTGCTCTGTTCTACCGTATGGCTATGAAATATGGACAATTAAAAGTAGAGGATATAAGAAGGCTTCAGGTGTCCGACCACCGTTGCCTTCACACCGTCGGCCATGTGTCACGTTATCACCACGTGAGTAATGCAGAAGTCAGATGTAGTGTCTTAGAGGGGAAAAGAAAATCATTTGAAGTTGTGAACCTTCATCAACTGAGATGGCTGGGATATGTTAGGCCTCATCGTACAATGTTAGCTGAAGTAGGTTTGGGCTGGAAAAAGATCACGAGTGGCCGGGCTAAAACATGACATCATTACATGTAGTCTTTGATCTGAGCCGTGTAGGGAAATGTAGAGTCCTCTGTTGAGGACCGCGTGATAGAAGAAACTACTGCTGGGAAACTAGGTGGTATGGAGCTGAATCGATGTCGGTGGTTCAGTTGCATTCACAAATTATCTGCATCTTAATCACCATATAAAACTTTATCATTGATTTTCCCCTCCTCGTTCTCTTTTCATTACTTTATGGTTATTTCTCCTGTATCTGTGTGTTTACTACCTTGGCGTACTGATATTGGATGTGACAACTAGGAGCATTACTTAGTACTGCCAAGTTATATTGTCTGTCTTCCTAAGATTACTAAATGAATGAAACCATAGGGGGAAATAGATACGTTTTATATTGGTGCTTGTATTATCCCGTCTTTGGTTGGATTGATCGGTCTCTAATGGCATGTGGGCTGCTGCACAGATGCTTCGATATTACCTGTTTTCCAATTATGTACTAATGGTGGATAGTGGCTAGCAGTGGAATCCCAGACGCACGTTTCCTCCTATATAGGACTCGTCAACTGCATGTACCTGCCTCCCAGTGAGCGATACTGCTTGAACACTATTGTTTTTGACTGACGAGCCTGGTATGAAATGTTAGTGTGACGGCGTAGAGTGGCGAAGTTAGTTTTCCTGAGAAATGCTCAACTTTTAACAACAGATTACAGGAGAAAGGTAACAAGAGGAATCATGATTTCAGAATTAAGATATAGAAGCATAATTTGCCAACTCTTTCAAAGTGTAAACAATTTAAGCAATTGTAAGTTTTCAAAAATTATTCTTTGGTCGAAAGCGGAGAAATGCAGTTTGCAGAATTTTTCCAAACAGTCCAATTTCTATTCACCTCGTGGTCACAGCATTGGTTTTCCTGATATGTTTTCCATTATTTTCTTTTCAGAACTGTTAACAGATCTGTCGATTATGAAACAAGTTCTTTTTGAAATAATAAGTGGTGTAGTGAAACTGGAAAAATAAAACCGAAGAAGGTATCCTAGCACTTTAAAACTATGATAGTTAATTTAATCGTAATGATCGAATTCGTCTACCACTTCACCCAACCTTTATTCTCGAATTCCTTCGCCTCCTACACAATTTTACCTACTTTAATGTCAGTTTTTTCTCCACCCACTTGTTATTTACTCGCTACTGGGGAGTTTGCCAACTTAAACGGATGCACTTTTGTACGATGTTCTAAGCTGATTTTGTCTGTCTGACGGCTACACTTCAGTTGTCCAGCATCAACCCTGAGCCTGAATGGGAAGTATGTGATGGTCCTACAACTCTCCTCGAAGATGAGGTTAAAAGGATGAACAGTAGCAGAAGCTAGTGGTTTGCCACTGGAAGTTTATGAGGATGGCGGTAGTAAATTACTGAGTAGGGTAACGGAGTTGCTAGGTAGTGTATTGCAATCAGAGTTAGTCCCATCAGCCAGGTCTACTTCACTAACCCTTCCCGCCTACATGAAATTCGAGAAGTCCTCATTAGACAACCATAAGTGAATCAGTTTAACCAGAATCCCATCGAAATGTAAGATAACGCTTCAGGACTGGTCTGCAACTATTCTCAGTTTAGGGATAAGGAGTGAAGTGATGAAATAGACCGACCACTTCACTTACTTGGGGAGTTGTGTCTACTTGGATGGGTTGGCTGCTGACGATTGTGATTATGTATGATTATTTTTCCAGTTATTTTTATGAGGCTTATCTTCTAGTTTTAGTATAATTTGAAGTTGTTTAAAGAAACATTAAGATTTAAGTAAATAAAAATGTAAAGTAAGATTAGCATGGGCGTGTGAGTAGCTAAAACCAGCTTTTATTGACTGGTAATTAAGTATTATTGTTACATTGTAGTGTGCATATTTCCGTCCTGTTATCTTTTTCTTGTTCTTACAGTCGAGGATCCATCACCTAATTTCCAAAGGATAAGAGACTTTTTAGACTGTAAACGCTGTCTCGAAAGTCCAGAAGTGATGCAAACTATTACACATTCTGCTGATGGAAAAGATGGACAAAGTAATGCCGAAAAGTCGTCTGCAATACGCTTCCGAGAAGTTGCCAGAACAAAGTTGAAACTAAATCGTTACCAAAGCCGGCGAGTGTATGAGATTCTTCGACTCTTTTTATTGCCTCGCTCACCAGAATGTATAAGATCGTTTTCTGACGCGCTGACTAAACGTGCTACTGCTTACTTCCAAGTATGTCATGTTCTTTTGTTGATGGTAGATATATTTGCATGAGCCCTAACCATCCTTGTTTTTTACAAAATCTCATTGTTAAATACGTATAGTTTATTAGAAATCTAGAGATAGTTGCACGCTTCATTTGACGTTTGTTTTTATTTAGGTAAGTCTCACTGGCACCAAAGGTGCCGTGATGGGTTATTTTTAGTATACTAAGTGATTTCATGGGTGCATTCATTTTAGCCTGTAAATGAGTCTACACCAACTTTAACTTCTTCCAACTATTTAGCCTTTGATAATAATTTGAGTCCATAAAATCGCATTTTTGGTCTGATAGGACCTATCTTCAAACTGTATATCGAAGCTTTCAATATCCAAACCTTTCATCATTTTGGACAACGCATCTTGCTAATCAAAACTTTTATGTCCAAGGCTGTATGTATGTATGCTGTTTTGCTGAGACAAGCATACAGGATGCGAGCGTGATCATGCTGTTAACCTGATCTGTTAGATGTGCTAAGTCCGTAAAATTTACTCTTCAAGTATCTGGAAACTCGACTCAGGGATGTATGCTGTCTCTGGGAAACATACAGGACCCGAATGTGGTTATTCACTTGACCTCACCTACTTAGTTCAGTGAATTTGCAAAATTTACTTTACAAGTATCCCAAGATTCAATGACTAGCTCTCGTAGACTCACTAGTGCATGCATAGCAGAAAGCGCTTTTCTCAACTGGATACTGGTCAACAGCCTTCTGTGTGCTATCCGACTAAATAGATCTGTAAGAACCGGGGTGGATCGTGAGACCAACCTATGCCTATTCGTAATCTCCTCCCAACGACGACAGTTCGGATGATGCAAGGGATAAACTCTATCGGAAGTTGTCAATTTTGCTACAAAAAGCAGTGTTCAAATATGTTCGTAATAGCAGGCGACTTTAACACACAATTAGGAAAGCTGAGCCACTCGGAAACGCATCTAGGAGGCATCTATGGTAGCCCATGCCAGCGAACTAACAACAACCATCATCTCTTGTAATCTTCTGGCAACCACCTGTTTCTGGCCAGCACCAACTCCGAGCAAAGAGAGAGACAATGTCTCACTTAGTGTCCGCCGACATCAAACCAGCGATGGACACAGATAGATCATACTACTATAAGCCATCGTTGGAGAGTATCGATGGAGGATTGTCACTCTTTCTGAAGTACGTTTATACTTCGATCAAACGTCAGTATGGGCACGTGTATGTCTTAGTCTTACTGGTCGTAGGAAACATACGGTAGTTAAGCCTGTGTTCTCAATCGAGCGATAAAGACAATTAAGTGTGTATTCAGTGAGGCTATAGCTAAGCATTTATCTGAACGTGACAACAGCGCTCATCCTGAGGAAACCTGGTGTGATATTAAGTCTGCCGTAGAAACAGGTAAAGATGGTTGGTAACCCACATCTAAACGCTATCAAACTTCAATGGATTTGCGCAACATCATCCGAATTGATTAAGGCGTGAAGATTCACTTCTAGCAGGCTCTGATCACAATGAAGAGTGAAAGCAACTTGAACATGAATTGACCAAGAGTGCCCACAGTGATCGCGAACAGTGGTGAGTGGCAAAAGTGAGAGAAATGGAAAAGTCGTCAGCATCATTCAGTGCCCGGGAATTATTTAGGTTCATTCAAGATACTGGCAAGAAGATGATGGTGGGTGAAACCACCCCCGAATAGGATGGGACATTGATAACCTTCCAGAACAGGTGGCTATAACGTCGGTGGGAACAATTTGAAGCACAGTTAGAATGGACCCCAGCAACGCTGCATTTTTCCAGCTTCTGGATACTCGTAGTCAACCGGATGACCTCCAATGAGTAGGTCAATCCCTGAGGAGTCAGAACCACCTGGGATTATATCCAGTTATTCGTCCATGAGGATGTTAAGTAGGAATAGTGACAATGGCGGACACCATTAGATGTCATCAACTCATGTGTCAACTCTTCATAAACCCTGACAGGACTGCGTTATGTGTGGCGGCCGCGGAACCCAACCCATTGATGATCATGGGCAGACAGCTGTCACTATTACCTGCCCTTGGAAAGAGTTCGTCGAGTATTGCGGTATTCAGGTTTCTTTTTTAACACCTTTTTTATTTTAGCAGAAGCAGGTAAACCAAAATTAAAAGTTTTTCGTAGTGAGTTCAGTGATACTAATATCGAGGCAGTGGCAATGTGGCTTCCTGATTTTAACAGTCAGCTTTCAGGCTATGGGTTCAAACTTTAAATATATCTGAATGTACTTGGGCACGAGTGACCAGGTAATATCATGAACTGTAAAGTTTAGCCCAGCCTTGCACATTTACGTGTACTCAGTTGATTTCTCTAACATTGGTAGTTTTATTAAGTGACTAAGCAACGGCCAGCCGTAACCCCACTCATCTTGAAGCGAGTAATCATGCATAGTCCGTTGTAAAAGTGGGAATGGGTCTCCAACTGGTCCTCTAAAAGGTGGGAAGTGTTCGGTGGATCTCATCAACATCCTTCGAATTGTTAGATGCTAGTGAATGGAGTCCTACAGGCTCTGGGTACATTGAGGACTGGAAGCAGTCTAAGTGTAAATTGATTCAGAGTTTACACAATAACTTTAAGTGCTTGTAGTCAGCAGTGATTAAACGAGTGGAAACGGCCGCAGCTATATGCTACGTTATATAGTTGTTTAGGTTTACTAAAAAAAACTAATTTTAAAAAGTTTAGGGTTAGTGAATCTTTTTCCCAAAAACACTACTCAGCAACCTGTTCACAGAAAAGATAACTGAAACGTTGAGCAAATCACCTCAAGGATAGATTAATTGATCTCTAGCTGTTCTCCATTTGCGTGCTGTCCAGTCACAGGTTGAACTTAACACAGAGATTGGACCTCCAACTCTTACGAGAGTTAAAGAGGCTGTAAGGAATGAATTAGTTGAGTGTGTTGACCTAGTCCACATACCTGAGGACTTGATCAACCTTGGCGGGTGAGTGACTGACGAATTCTTGGGACATATACAAAAGGCTCTGTTTACATTCATCAACTTGCACCACCTATGACACCGCCGTGATATCCGGTTGTCGACTAAGAATTGAGTGTAGTTCGCTCTGTTCTACCGTGTGACAGTGAAACATGGCCATTAAATATAGAGAACATGAGAAGACTAGGTATTTGACCACCGTTGCCTTGGTAATATATTCCATGTATCATGTTGTCGCCATATGAGTAACTCAGAGGTCAGGGATGGAGTTTTTGGCTTGGGAAGAAAGACAGTTGAGGAGGCAGGTTGTGAAGCATCGTCAACATCGATGTCTGGGACATATGTTGCGCAACCCTAGTTATTGTCTGTTGCGTCGCACAATACCAGCTGAAGTTGTGTATGCTGGTAAAAGGTTGGAGACAATCGAACTAGAACAAGGCATCAGTACGTGAAGTTTGAGTGTTGCTCAGAGCCGTTTCGAGAAGTTTGGATCCCCAGTGGGAGTCTGCATAACAGTCCACAATCGGTGGTTGACGACTCTGGCTCGATGCAGATGCATCCACGAATTATGTTTATCTTAATCGACTTACTGAATTTCAATGTCCCAATTTTCCTTGTTCACTTTACTCCATTTTCTACTAATTGACTGCTCCATCTTTCAACTTGGTGCCTTTTAACCTTGTTGTGGTGATATGAGATGTGGCAACGTGGGTGGCTACGCAGTAATGCCAGGTCATTTATTGATATCAACGTTACTACATCCCAATATCTAATAACGTTGGCCCCAATCTCATGGGGATTATTATTATTCCTGGTCATGTTTTTTTACGAAACCATAGGTATAACGGAAACAACTGCTCAGTGTTGCTTATTTTCCGTGCTTCATTGGGTGCCAATATTGAATGATAACACCACTAAATAGACGGGAAATTCATAGTTCATTCATCGAAAAAAATTTTGCATCCATTTGTTGTTCATGAATATTCTAGGGCTTGGCGATTAACGTGGCCAAAAATATTAACGGAAGACTTAGTTATTTAGTCCATAAACGAATTACCGGACTCTGTTCTTTCACAGATGTATCGTATGATTTGAATCAGAGTAACGCTGTCAGTCCGTTGGTATGCACAGACATCCAACTGAATAAGATATATTGAGGATAGGAGATTATGTCTAGTACTGCATCTTTAGTTTCCATCACGACCATACTTGGTCGGCACTCGTTATTAATGGTGATCATATCATAAATTTCTGATTTAAATGAGTCAATTTGAATTTTGTTCATGTTCATGTTGCTTGCTAGCTTGTATTCCGCGTTATCCTCAACATTTCTGCTATGCATTATCCTGTTGACCAGTCAACTGTTTCAAATGAACTACTCCATTAAAAATAGTGAACTGAACTTTCTATAGATCTTTGATAATTCGCTAAGTTACAAAGCATTAGTTTTTTTTAGAGGATACTGCTTGAATCCGCCTTATTCATAAATACAATTTCTTCCTACCTTTCATATAATAGGTTATGGGAGCTTTATGCATTTGTTAAGCATATATATGGTAGTGTTTTTCACTCTCTAACAACATTTGTATTTCCACTTTTCAATCACCAACGTAGCGAGTTCGACCTGATGCAATGCGAGGCTCGTCTTTGGTACCTAAACCGAGTGGTTCTTCTTTTAACCCACTGAAAAAAGCATTTGATGAAGCCGCTGACGAATATTTTGAGAATCAGCTTCGCGAGGAAGTTTCTATTTTGTTGCAAAATTATCAAGAGATTGTACATAAACTAGATCGACTCACTCCTTCACTTAAAAAGAAGTTTTAATTGTTGCCATACAAGATGCTCTCTTTCCTATTTTTCTTATATACTGTAACAAAGTTTTAATTCATTATAGATTTTCTGCAGTAAAAGCGCTTTAAATCAGAATGTGTATTACCTGAGTTACAACACCTGCTCCTTGTGCAACGGGTATGGTATACTTTCCACGTGGTAGCTTGTCCTTTGCACATTAAAGAATCAGCCACCTTTATAAAAACATGATTCCAAAGCTTTCAGCAAAGCGTGTTTTACTCAGTGATCTCGGCAAGCGCTTACGCAAAATCTGAATGATAATACCTCCCTTGAATTTGATGTCGAGTAGAAAGGTTTTCTTCTGTGTATTACATAACAGGAATCACGGGAGACCAGTCTACCAGTTTTATCGATCGCAGACATTAAAAACCAAGGTGTTTGCAAATTACCCATTGGGTAACCACCCACCAATGTTATACTTCTTCCTAAACTCATGGTATAAGGAGTGTTGCTTGAGTGATCTTGGCGTAATATATAGGCATAAATAACAAAACGAAAAAAAATATTTTTCACCATTCAGTGTCCCAATCCACCAAGGAAGTTCTTTTTTAAGAGTATGAATCTGATGTCAAGCTTTCAGATTCGGTACGAGTGACCTTGTTGCTATCCAATTAGATTATCCCTTACAACAAAATTATAATTTATGTTAGTGATGTTAATAAATGAGTCTGAAGAGATTGCGCAAGTAACGTATTGTGAAAATAAGGTGAGGAATTTTGTTCTATTGTAAAATATACGTTGGAGTCATCAGTATAAAGTAAGAATAAGCTACTATATTCATATTGATAATGATGATGATGAGGAAAGCACAGAAGACGATTGCAGTGAAGAAAAATTTCTCTCCGACAAAATCATTCTCTTGGCTAAACCTTCGTGAATACATAGTTAAAATGATAAAACACTCCAGAGTGATTTCTAATCAACAATCACCATAAACTGCGTCACAAAGGGAAGTTACGTAATGGGGAAGTCAACAAAATAATTACAGGATGAAGATAGTTACGCCGCATGTGGGTTATCTAGACTGATCAATAATCTACAACGGCCGTGGCAAAGAAAGGGGTTGTACATACTGCAAGTGAACACATAATGATATTTTGAATCGAGCGGCAGCATGTTGCATAGGCTGGCGCATTGTACAGCCGATATAATTCGCTTCACAGGAGCAGGTAAACTGATATACAGACATTGATGTGACGTTACGCTCAAGTTTATCCTTTGCATACTGACGATTGAGTTTCTGACAGGAGAATGCGATTTTAAGATTGGCGGCAAAGAATGTTCTGTCTATGGACCCTGATAGTCTCTAAGCATGTCTGCCGCGTTTATTTTTTATTATTTGTCTCTTGGGTTCCTACTGGAACATAGGGCTTCCGTAACACATTGACATTCCACTCTCTTCTCTGCAGTCGTTCAACCTGGCTGTGTAACCACCCACATTTAGAAAAGGAATATTAACTGAAACAACAATCCTACCGGTCACTTTAGATGCACTATTTGTCTAGAAGCGATCGGAAGCAAACACTAGATTTCAGCTATCACTCATCAACAATATCTGCCTTCCTAAGGAAAATGGTGTAACCCAATCCAACGGTGAGAACCATTACCACCAAGTAGTCTGAATACACTGACAGCTCAAAACTGATCCCAACAGCACAGATGAATCTATATCATACTCTTATAATTATTATTGAACTTCCTTTTGCTTCAATCAAATATATCCCTATCCCTTATATAACCTAGATATGTGGAACAGGGATGAAACACCTGAACCATTAGTCGGTAGTAACACCCAAAACAATGAGCGACAGCTCTGCAATGAATAGAGTTCGGATTTGCCTTGGGGTCAAGAAATATGGCAAGTGTCGGTCACCGGCAAGTATGCCTGTTCCCCTACCTGTCGAAAGGTGATAATCTGATCCATGCATCCTCATTCAGGTCTGAAACCTGTCCGGTTTCCTCGAGTTTGCTATTCTCAGGCGTCGGATAATTACAGACTCGGGGATCATCGATACAAGATTAGTCAAACTAACTCCCCTATAGCTGTCACAAGAAGACTTCTCTCTCTTCTTACAGACTGGAATGATCAGTGCAGTAAACCAGTTTGACGAGACTACCTCTGACTCCCAAACAGTACTTAGCGCCTCCGTTACTTAAATCAGCAATTTTCTACCTCCATCTTTAAAAACTTCGGGTGAATTAACGTAGAACTACAGCTAACTTTGCCCTATGGCCAAAACTTCGGAGTATTTTTAGACAATGACATTTTGTTCTTTAGCCATTGATATCATATAGTAATTCTGAGTGTAAAATACAAAATATGCAATTTTTCGGGCTTGTTTTAGTCTAGCAGCAAAACAAACAAGATGTGCAAAGTACAACTTGTAGACAAGACCACAAGGACGGAGGTCAGCTGATATTATGCCTAAATGTCCGTGTATGATTCCTCAGAAGACATCGCGATATCCATTTATGGTGAACAGAATGGTTCATGCACATAGAAAACTTTATGTAATTGAACACAGTTGTTGATCAGGCATAAACAAAATGGACAATATCAGCAGTGGTAAATGCGTCTTGGAAGCCACAAACTAAAACACCGGTGTATAACTAAATTCATATTCCAAACCCACACTACATGGTATATACAGTTGTGATAAGATAGTGACAAAAAGAGGCATGACCGTCCCTCAGATAAGATACGCCACTGAGCTTGAAAACTAGCTGTGGTAAATTAAGCTGATTATTATTAGTCCCTTGGGTTCCTAGTGGAAGATGGGGATTCAGTAACACGTCGGCATTTCACTCTCTTCTCTGCAGTCCTTTCAACCTGGCTCCACGACTACCCAGAAGCTTTCATTTCTTACTCACACCATCTCCTCAACGTCATCCTCAGATGGTCAACTTGCCGTTTCCCATTCAGTTTCCGCTTGACAGCCTGGCGCGTGATGTCCACAATCGGTCTTCTCAGTGTATGCCCAGTTCATCTCTACTTTCCATTGCATATTTGTTGAGCGATTGGTTCGTTACCAGACCAGAGTTCCTTGTTGCTCATTCTTTCTGGCCATCTGATCTTCAGTATCCAGTGAGCGTAGGTGGCAACCGTTGATGTATGCCTGCAGTTTGTTGGAAATGTCTTTCGTAACGCGCCAAGTCTCTCAACCATCACATAGAAGCACTGACTTGACGTTGATGTTGAAAATCCGGATCTTGTTCATGTCTTATGCTGAGTGAAGTGGAGTGCAGTAGATCTCCACACCGATTCCAGATTAATGCAGGAATGCCTGTCTTGCTGTCTTTCCGATCCTGGCTTTGACATCCTCATCTGTGCATGTGTCGCCTGTAGTTGAGACGATACTGCCATGCCTAGACAGGTGAAAGAGACGACTTCGTTTAGATTTCTCCTGTTGATGGTGATTGCACCTTCTTGTTGTTGTTTGGTTGGTTGGGTATCTTCATCACCTCTGTCTTCTCTACGTTCACCTGAAGGAAGTCCCGTCTTTTCTACCCTGTCTCTTCTGCCAACTTGTTAGTTTTCGCCTGTAGATCTTCGAGTTCGTGCTACAAGACATTAAACATAAATCATCACCGGCGAAATCCAAATCTTCTAGTCTCTTCGTCGGTCAAATAGTGTATGCTCATTTTCTCGCTCCTCACCGTTTCTTGTATGATCCAGTCTAGTCCAGTCCACCAAAATCAGGAATATCATCGGTGATAGTAGGCAGCCTTGTCTTGTCTTACTCCTGTCTTCACTCCACAGGCATCACTTGGCCTTCCAATGTGAATCACTTGGCTGGCATGTAGTATCACATAGCAGATAGTTGTTGAATGAGGTTGATAAAGATTTGTGACACTAAAACCGTAGTGTTGACTCAGCTGCCTGCTAAATTACTTCCAGGTCAACACCGTCGAAGGCCTTTTCAAAGTCAATGAAGTTGAGACAGAGTTGCCATTCTATGCTGTTCTATGATGATGCGTCGCGTTGCAATTTGATCCTCACCTGATTTATTTTTCCTGAAGCCAGCCTGCTCCAGTCGTAATTTTGAATCCAGAGTACTATTTAGTCTCTCCAGGATGATACGGATTGGTATTTTGCCTGGTGTGGACAGGAGCATGATTCCGTGCCAGTTCTTGTCCTTGCAAAGTCTTAGGTCACCCTACCTTGAGAGTTTGACACAGTAGCCCTTCTTCCAATCAATAGGCAGGCACCTTTCCTTCCTTCCTTCTTTCCTTGCAAACCTTCTGCAATAGTGATGTGAGCATGTCCGCTGATGTCTATTCGCATTTTCAGTGCTTCTGGCGGACTTCCATCTACTTCTCCCCCAGCTCTCAGTAACTTTATGGTGTCCAGGACTCCACTTCTGCTTTTGCCGGAGAGTTTGTGTTCACTTGTAGTTCTGTGGCTGGGCTGCTGGTGGTATTTTTGGACGAGTTGCAGGTGGTGATGGTGGTCGATTCAGGAGTTTTTTGAAGTAGTCAGCCCATCGTTTCCTTTGTTTCTCCTCTTTGCTAACCAAGTTCCCGTCACTATCATTGGTTTCATCTGTGTTGATCTCTTCCCTCCCACATAGTAACCTGGTCATTTGATATAATGTTGTCAGGTCTCTCTTACCTGCAGCCTGTTCTGCTTCGCTTACCAATGTGTCGTAGAAGTGTCTTTCGTCTCTGCGTGCACTCTTCACTTCCTTGTCCAGTGTTCTATACGTTGTACCCAGTTCTTTTTTAAGTTGTGCATCCTTGCACTGGTTCATCTTCTGCTTCACCATCTTCCTCTCCCTGCTCTATCAGCTCCCATGTGTCCGTCGAGATCCATTCATTGTCTTATTTTCTCTTCTCTTCTAATACGATTATGCAGGTTTCTTTCCACATAGCTTACAGAGGGTTCCAGTGTTCTTCCACACAGTTTCCTTCAGGGATGTTGCTCAATGTCTCCCATTTTGTCCTGATGACTGACGTGAAGATGTCCTTAATAGTTTCATCCTTCAGTTTCTGTTCTGGGTGTTGAACTTGAAATGTGGTCTATCACCAACTTCTTTGAAGGCTTTCAACTTGATTTGGAAGGTGCCTTCCACTAGATAGTGAATGGTCTGAACCTATATTTGCTCCTCTTCTTGATTTTGTGTCCAGTAGACTGCGTCTCCACTTTCTTGAGACTGAAATGAAGTCGATCTGATTTTTAGCGTGTTCTGGTCAAATCTATGTTGCTTTGTGAATATCCTTGTGTGTACACACTGCCTTTAATCACCAAATCACGAAGGCGCAGAAGCCTGCAAACAGTTCTCCATTCTCATTCATTTCACCCAGTGCCTCTCGACCCATGATGAGTTCTCTTCCTGTGTTGTCTGCTCCACGCAGTTTGGCATTCATGTCACCCACTAGAATTTTGATGCCGCCAACTGGAGTCTTGTCCAGTGTTGATTGCAGTTGTCTATAGAATTCTTCCTTCTTCTCTTGGTCTGCATTATTTGTAGGTGCGCAGCGTAGCATTCATTGTATGATTGTAACTTTCCTTTCTTTTGAGTTGGATCTTGCTGTCATGATCCTGGAGGAGATTGGCTCACCACTGCATGAGAGACTTCGATGTTCTTGGGGACATCATGATAGCCACTCCCTCAGTGTGCTCGTGGTTGTCGTCTGGAAGGTAATATCGGAGTAGATTATTGACTCTCCAGTTAACAATTTGAAGAGTCCACTTACATTCCATCTGGAGATTCCTAGCATTTCTATACCATATTTCCCATTTCTTTTGCAATCTGGGCAGCCTTGCCAGCCAGCTTTAAACATCGTGCGGACACTCCATGTCCCCATTCTTATTTTCACTTTCATCGAGAGAAGACACATTGGTCAATTGGCTTCCTGAAGACTTTCACCAACCGGCGTCATTTCGTCTTTCCGGTCCAGCGAGAAATAATTTTATTTCTTATATTATCTTGGTGCTTTGAAGATTGTTTAGTGATTGGATTGGTTTTCCGGGGTAGGGTTCCATCTTAATTCGGGCTTAGGACCGGCTAGTAACTAGTTAACTACTCATTTAGGCTTGGTTAAAACTTAGATGGCGTTAGCAAAATCAATATTATGGAGTTTATAAACAGAGGCTACGTATGTCGACTATTATTATGTAGGTGGGTATTTATCAGGAAACATAATGCAGTGAATCATTGTGAATCCGGTTAATTAAATTACGACATATGTTGAGTATGAACTAAAGAGACAATAATCAAATAAGTCAAGATTGACGAAGTTAAAGATTAATAACAGATTCCTTTTACAAGTAATTTAGTTAAAGGCGTTTAATAGCAATGTCCTGAATAAAAAGAAAGACCTAATTCATTCTGTTTGTTGCCTACTTTTAAGAAATTTAAAGCATCTGCTTAATATTCTGTATTTTAAAAGAATTCTTATTGCCTGTACTGTCATAACTACTTGATTCTCTGGATTGTAGTGTCATCGAGTTATGCTCATAATATCTGACGTAATCTCTTATCTCCTATCTTGCGGCAGATGCATGTAATTTTGGTCCATACAGCTAGATGCAATATGTGAATGATACCTGTCAGTTCTTGACTTTACCAGTCAACAAGAAGTTCGAAGTAGATAAAGTCGGCTTTACTACACGATACATCCTGGTCAGTACAGTGCTTAGTCTTCAGCTTGTCATCAGCTCTGAAGTTGAGGTGATCGACGATGACCAATAGGAATGGTCGCAGAATTTCTGTATGGGTTTCAACCTCTCAACATGGTAGCAAATATTGAACATTTCAAGGTGCGTTATAAAAGAAAGGTGAGTTTGAAGCTGAGTTTATTTCGCCTTGATACAACGATCAGAAATGTACAGAACGTTTGGAGAAATAGTATGTATAAACGTAATGCACAACACATAAAAGCACAGGAAGGGGAGAACCAGAGAAATTCTGCAAAATGAAAGTTCACTTTCAGAATCTTTACTCCTAAAAAGACTGGAACATCATTAGATCAATTAATAGAATTATTACCGGACGAAATTGAAAAGTGGAAACTCTGTGTAACTGCAAACATGGGATTATTTTCAGAAAATCCGCAGTTGGTCAATCAATAATAGTAAGAAATTTTCACTGCTAACAAGAAATATGGGTACCTGGAATTATTGAAGCCAGACGCGGAAATGTTATTTATGAAGAGAGAGTTCAAGATATTATTTGAACTAGACATACAAATCCATTACAAAATTCCCATACAAATAAATGCCTGAAAGAGAAAAAAACAAAATTCTAATATTCAGTTAGATTTCATGACAGAAAGAGATATAAAGTTGCAGCCGAATAGGCCACCTTGAAAGAGAAAATTGAGACCACCTCTAAGAGGATAGCACAGGGAAAGATGAAAACCGAAACGATTTATTCTGAACTCATATCAACAATCATATTAATGAATCTTCAAAAAGGAGGGAGTCTGAAGAAAAGAAAACATGGTTTTCAGATAATTTTTATTGGTCGCATTATTTCATGGATTGTAAAAGTTATTTTACCTATGACATTTGGTGACATTATTGCATACTTTAACTCCAGAACCTTTTGATTAACCCCTCATCGAATTCTCTATTACTTATAATTCAGAAATAATTGCATGTTGAGTGAAACTGACTTATGCATCGTTTCATTTTTTCTTTAATGAATCATGGTGTGTTGTGAACAGGAAATTCCGTTGCGTATACAAATGATTCATACTGTTCAAGGTATATGGAGCATGAACACAAGACTGTATTCTGTTGTTTGAGGTGTGAAGGGTCAAGTTGCGTGACTCATTATGTGGGTGAATTGAGCATACGTGATGTTCCCGGTATATTCTAGCCATAGGAGGCAATCAGAAAAATCACATGGTTCAGATAATTACTACTAGACAGAGACGTAACAGTAATATTACCAAAGTCAATAACTGAGGGACTCTAAAGCCTATTTTAGCAAAGACTGAAATAGCCAGTTAAGTTTCTTCGTTTCGGTCGAAAAGGCGAATTTTCATAAAGTAAAGAAGTCTAATTGATTATTTCCCTTATTGGTAGGGTGGTCTTTACAATCACAGCAATAATTATAGTTGACTGGTAGCACAAATCTCCAGCTCCCCCAAATCCCCTAGTATTCGTTCACAGACTCTGCCAGAGACGTCCTGTTCACTGTCTCCACGTGGCGGGGATAGTGCCATAAAAGTGAAGGGAAGAAAGCGAATACCTGGTGCTTTTTACTGGATTAGTGGATACTGAGGGTCTACCCTAGGGAGTTGAAAAACTCTGATTCTAAGCCAATGGTGCACATGGGTTCTAGGTTCCGGAAGGAACGAATGATATGTGAACCTATTTTGGTCACCGGCAACCATGGGAATGCGGTTCTTGATGTTGTCCCGCTGCCTTGTGGATTAGACTTTAAGTCAAAGGCTCGTAGAGCGGTCCCCTGAGCCGAAGATTTGCTTCATTCTGAGAGCCTGGGCAGTATTTCAGCCCTCACACAAAATATGAATGAAGATTTTGAAGCAAGTAATCAAATTTCCTGTGAGCACTTGAGCCGTCCGCACTAAGAACTCTATAATTGGTCGTTCAGTTGATTGCTATCGTATTATTTTTCATACAATTTTTCCCTTTCACGGATTTGAATAAAGCAAGAAGAAGAATATTGACGTAATTAGCGTGCACGTATTTTGTGGATTCTTCTCAGCTGATTTACAACCTATAGAACATAGTATTTATGATGAACAATATTTTATACGACTTACTTTAATATGTCGACAAGTATTTTCGAATGGAGGTGGGAGATAACAGAGATTTAGGTTGACCGGCATCGATGAAGTTGTTAAGGCTACTCAGAAATTAACTGTTTAAGCAGTGATAGAATGAACATTAAAGAGAAGGTAGCGAAAAAATATGTATGTGTATACAAACGTATATATACATGTAAGTGGGGGGGGGGTGATTGTGCACAGCATTATTCTAGAATTAGTGAAAATAGACGTCATGGTTACGTAAGCGTATTATATAGTCAGCAGGTTTTCATCATATTGAGAAATAAGATGAATACAACTCAGAAAGCGAGGTTTTGAAATATACCGAAAAATAGAGTGACAAAAAAGGTAAGGGTCATGAGGTCAAGAAATCTTATACTTGCAAATTTAGGAGCTTAAAATTACCAAGGTGATCCGAGATTAACAACAGTATCTTTCTGAATATATAGATCAGGTTTGAGTCTTTTAATTGCAACTGCATCAACAAACCGCAAAAGAGTGGGTTTCCGTTGTTTATTGGTAACTTTGGATGACCTTAATACGTAAACTTTATGTCCATTATTCAGTAAATGCCGGGTGATTCCACTGTTTAAATCTTGTGGACCCTTAAGACTTAAGTTCTTCGGGATATGTTCAGAAATGTGGACAAGAACTCTACTCTCTATTCTTCTAAAATATGTACTCTGGCACGTACATGTGAACTGGTAGATACAGCTACAGCTGGAGGCAAAAAGAGTTGGAAACTTGTCCACTTTGGACTTTCTCAATGAGCATTTAGTCTGATACACGGACCAACTTGGCGTCTGGATAGGTGATTTTTATAGCAGCACTCAGTCTATGACTTATCCTTATGGCGACTTCATACCTTTTGAAGGCAAGATGTAGATAGACGGGCATCTTGTCAACTCTACTGTACTTAATTCCTTTCACTTTTGTCCAGCCGTACTTGTCAAAGAACTTTTGTGAGTAACCATTTTCGCGTAGGTAGTTTTCGACAAAGGTCAGTTTTTCCTCAATATTT